CGCCAGGCACTTGTTCTGCTAAGCCGTGCGGAGAAGGGCAGCCCGTGTGGTCCTCCAAGCGCGCCAACACCTTTGGATGTGCTGCTGGACAGAAGGTACGAAATGCTCACCCTCTACAGCGGCAAACAGAGGTGGTGGAAACCCAGAGACGCCTCAAAAGGGGACACTCTGGTGGCCGAGGAGGTGAGGCTATTGTGGGCGTACTCAATCCAAAGGAGCTGCTTGCTCCAGGTGGTCTGATGGGTGGAGGCCACGCATCGGAGGGCTGCCTCAAGCTCCTGATTGGCTCGCTCTGTTTGACCCTTAGTCTGCGGGTGAAAGCCAGAGGAAAGACTGACCTGAGCTCCCAGGGAGGAACAGAACTCCTTCCACACACGAGACGTGAATTGCGGACCCCTGTCTGAGATTATATCCACCGGAATTCCATGGAGACGGAAGACGTGGTTCATCAGGAGCTGGGCGGTTTCCAGGGCCGTGGGAAGCTTGGGAAGGGCAACAAAGTGAGCTGCTTTAGAAAAACAATCAATGATAGAATGACAGAGTTACCTGACGAAGGTGGCAATCCCGTGACGAAATCGACAGCGATGTGGGACCAGGGGCGGCTTGGCGTAGGCAGGGGCTGAAGGAGACCAGAGGTTGGCTGATTAACACCTCTCCAGGCTTCTTGAAGGGCACAAAGAGTAGTCCAGAAGGACCAGTTCCTGGGTCTGGTTCTGTTCGTTGGGCCCCCCTAATGGCTGGTTCAACCTCCTACGTCAGGGCCCCAATGACACACGAGGGGGGAATGATGGGAGAGTCTCGAGCAGTCTCCTCAGAGGCAGTGAATTGACGAGAGAGAGCGTCGGGTTTGGTGTTGCGGGAACCTGGCCTGTAGGTTATAGTAAACTGAAATCTTGTGAAATGCTTAATGCCTGGTGGGCATTAAGCCGCTTCGCTGAACGGATATATTCCAAATTTTTATGGTCTGTCCAAACTACAAACGGCTGGGCAGCGCCCTCCAGCCAGGGACGCCATTCCTCTAGAGCGAGCTTAATGGCTAACAGTTCCCTGTCCCCAACGTCATAATTTTGTTCAGTAGATGAGAGACGGCGAGAGTAGAAGGCACAGGGATGGAGCTTACCCTTCTGTTGCTGGGATAGAATGGCCCCCACCCCTGTGTCCGAGGCATCCACCTCCACGACAAACTGCAGGCCGAGGTCAGGTTGAACCAGGATGGGTGTGGAGGAGAAACGAGCCTTCAGGAGGCTGAAATCCCTTTGTGCTGACTCCTTCCAGCAGAAGGGAACCTTGGGAGATGTGAGACGAGTTAGTGGGAGAGCAAGCTTACTGTAGTCACGGATGAATCGTCTGTAGAAATGAGCAAAACCCAGGAAACTTTGGATTTGCTTGCGGTTTGTCAGGACGGGCCAATTATTGACAGCTTGGACCTTAGCTGGGTCGGGCCTGAGATTACCCTGTTCAATGATGTAGCCCAGGAATGAAACGGTGGTCACATGAAATTCACACTTCTCACCTTTCATGAAGAGACAGTTCTTGAGAAGACGTTGCAAAACCAGCCGGACGTTCATGTTCAGAGACGGAGCGTGAAAAGATGAGAATGTCGTCAAGTTAGATGAACACAAAGTGGTTAAGGACGTCTCGGAGCACGTCATTGACAAAAGCCTGGAACACAGCTGGGGCATTGGTTAGACCAAACGGCATAACGAGGTACTCAAAATGGCCCAAGTGTGTGTTACAAGCCATCTTCCATTCATCCCCCTCTTGTATCCTAACCAGATGGTACGTGTTACGCAGATCCAGCTTTGTAAAAACTGTGGCCCCTTGGAGCAGTTCATAGGGTGATATCAGTAGTGGTAGTGGGTATTTGTTTTTGGTGGTGATATTGTTGAGGCCTCGATAATCTATGCACAGCCGTAAGCTCTTGTCCTTCTTAGCAACAAAAAAGAACCCCGCCGCAACAGGGGATGATGACGGGCGAATCAGACCTGCGGCGAGCGACTCGTTAATGTACTTTTCCATGCTGTTCCGTTCAGGCTGTGAAAGACTGTATAATCGGCTGGTAGGAAATGGGGCGTCTGGGAGAAGATCAATTCCGCAGTCGTACGGCCGGTGAGGGGAATGAGAACGTGCTCTATCTTTACAAAAAACCTGCTTAAGATCGTGATAGACTGAGGGCACAGATGAGAGATCGGGTGACTCTGATGGTGGGGGGTTACTCTGAGGGTTCGCGGGTGGAGTTGCGGCTTTTAGACAAGACATATGACATTCCTCTCCCCACCCTAGAATGCTTTACTTCCTCCAATCCAGGACTGGGTTGTGTTGACATAACCAGGGGAACCCTAAGACTAGTGGTGACTAGCCTTAAACACAAATAACTGCAACATCTCAGAATGATTACCAGAGAGGGTTAATGATATTGGCTCAGTAATACGGGTGATATCCGGGAGACGCTGCCCACTGAGGGCGGTAACTTGGAGTGAGTGTGGCAGTGGTTTAGTGTTTAGTTTTAATTCTTGAGCGAGGGACTCATCAATGAAATTCTGCTCTGCACCTGAATCAATTAGTGCGTGGAGTGGGTGAGAAACAGAACGAACCGTTAGTTTAGCCGCAAGCATCAAGCGAGGAGGAGATTGTGAACAGGAAACTTCGCCCACCCGTACTCTCCCCTCTACTGGCGGGCGCGGTCTTTTGGCTGGTCAGGACAGTAAACGGCCATATGGCCCTTACGGCCGCAGTAGAAGCATTCACCAGCTCTCCAACGCCGTTGTTGCTCTTCCGGCGTTAATCTGGAGCGTCCTATTTGCATGGGTTGCTCACTCTCGTCTTCATAATTCCTGTTCCGTTTTCCCATTCCACTTGCCATACCTCCGCCGGAGGCCAAGGGTGTGGACCCATAATGAGTTCCGCCCTGGCGAGAGAGAGAGAGAGAGAGAGAGAGAGAGAGAGAGAGAGAGAGAGAGAGAACTAGAGGGAGAGCGAAACAGCTGATCAGCGACCAGCTGAACCGTGACACTGACATTTAGACAGTGCTTTATCCACGTATCACATCGCACAGACAAAATCAAAATATACATCGTAACTCGGTCACTGTTAATTGCACCATCATCATTTTTAAAAACTGATTTAAAGACAGCTGTTTAGCAAAGAACAGAAGCCTTCTGCATCCCAATTGGGCTTGTTTGTGTTACGTAGGCCAACACAAAGAGACAAAACAAAGGTGCCGAGCAGATGATAGAAGTCATATAAAAGATCGGATGAGGAGACTCAAAAGGGAGGACAGGCTGTGAGAAAAAGAGGTGAATCTTGCTTTTGATTTGTATTCTTTTAAACCTCGGTCACACTTCTTCCGTCTTTCAGAAACAAGTGGGTCACAGACTGCTGATCAGGATAATTAAAAATACACAAAACCAGTTTAGATTCAGCATTTCTTGGCAAACGCACCCTGCATATCTTTACAGCCTAACAAGTAAGTCTACAACCTTAAAAAATATATCCATACATTTTTTTAGAACTGTCTTCTTTTCCTTATCTTGTACTTGCACATTGCTACCTTTCGTGGATCACTGCAACCATCAAGCATGAAGATCCCGATACTGTCAGTAATTGCTTGAAAGTGTTGTTGTGACGTGTATTTGGTAGTTTGTCTGGTCATACGGCACAGCAGATTTGACACGAGGACCTTGGAAACTGTCAGTGAATTCAATACAGCAATCAATATATTCATAAAATAATTGCAAACCTGTTTCGTAGCCCCCTGCTTATGATCCCCATGACTCATTTCTGTTGTCAAATGAAATGTGAATTGTGGCCGTGACTGTACCTGTGGATGTGTGTGGTTATTATAGCACAACATGAGGTACGGTAGCAGGACCTCCTGTTCCACAGTGACTCCTTTTTTATTCCTTGTATGCCTACTTGAAGCTTACAGCAGACCATCAGGAACAAAATCAGATTGTTTTTATGTCATAAACTTTGGTACCTCTAGAGAGAGTAGTCCCTCTAGTACTCGCTGGGTCACTGAGCATCTAGCAAACACCTTCTTTATGATTATGTGCAAACAGATCTTTTTTTGGAATCCATAGTATTAATTCTTTCTTCCCCCGTGGTATCTTCAGTCACTGTGTCCTGGTTGGTTTGATTATGTATTAAAAGGTGGTAACTGAGCCTTCAGCACTTCAGAGGAGATTACAGCATGAGAATGCTGCATTATTTATAGGCCTCACTCTAAGCTAAGGTCATGGAATGGCCATGGTTAGCTTACGGCTATACCACCCTGAGCACGCCCGACCTCGTCTGATCTCGGAAGCTAAGCAGGGCTGGGCTTGGTTAGTACTTGGATGGGAGACTGCCTGGGAATACCTCGTTAGATGAAATAAACATTAACTGATAAAAGGGAAAAGAACAGCAAACAACTAATCACCTGCAGAATACAGTATCTGACTCAGTCTGTCTCTATTGTCATAATCACAATGGCTACTAAAGGACCTTTTTTGCTTTTACATAAACAGACACAATATAAAAAAATGTCACGTAATTATGAAAATTTCTTGTCAGTATCACTAAAATTTTATATAATGACAAGGTATATTTAAAGATGTTAATGTCTACACAGTCTACACAGAGATACTTTAACTCATCTACTTGGTAACATTCCTATCCTTGCCTATGGGCATAAGCTGTGAGCTATGACCAAAAAAATAATATCTGAGATACAAGAATCGGATGTCTTGACCATTGCTTGGAGATAGGGTGAGACGCTTGGTCATTTTGGAGGAGCTCAGAGTAAAGCCACTGTTTGTCTAAACAGTTGAGGCGGTTCCAGCATCGGACAGGGGTACCTTGTGGATGAAATATTAAAGCTATTGTAAAATTTGTTGTCCACGCTATGTAAAGCTCTATACACAAGAAAAAACCCAAATAACAACAAACCAGGCACAAACCAATGTTCTTTAAGAAAATCTCAGTTGTTCCTTTTCTTAATTTTAAAATTGAACACTCACCACCCAGAAGAGTGTTGTATGCGCCAGGGCCTGGTACTGCTGAATGGTAGAGAGAACACTGAGGATCAAACAGGCCAAAACTATCAGAAATCTGCAGAGAATGAAAGAGAACATACATTAATCTTGATTAAAAGGTTTTATGAAGTTTTACAATACAGTTCATACATAGCACCATAATTTTTTATAACATCCAATTGCATACTACTAGCCAAATGGATATTCACTATCAATCAGTTTTATTTTCCCTAAGTCAAAAGTTTGCATAAATTGTCAGTCAAGACATGTAACTGCAAAATCCTCACTCCATTTTTCAATACCTCACCTCATATTTATGTCAGCAGTTCACACTTTGATTTAAGCTGCAAAAATTCAGTCAGCTTTGGTGTCTGCTTTGGGTTTAAGCTTCTGAACAACCTTACAAAAAAAAAAGAAGGTTCCAGACAGCATGGCATTATGTTGTATTTTTACCATGAAAAGTATTTGATTGAATCTGAGAAAACATTCAAGGACAGCCCTCTGGAGGAAATAGTAGGAACCTTTTGAACTCAACCTGTCACGGACCCGGTTCCGGGGACTCGGGGTTCGTGAACAGTGTGGACCTTTATTGTTATTAGTGTATTGGATGTATGTTTGCTGCACTGTGTTCTTGTGTTCAATGCTGGTGTGTGTATGTGTGTGAGGCTGGAGGATGAAGGACAGCCACCTGCAGGCCTGATGGGTGTGGCCCTGCCAGCTGCTGGTCACGCCTAGCTTACCACACACCTGCTTCTGATCAGGATCGTCGGGGGAGCTACTTAACAGAGCGATGGAGCTTCCTCCGGCCCAGGATCGTTGAGTTAGACTCCATGTCAGTGTTTGTAGTGCTGGTCAGTGTATGCCTGCTGGAGTTGGTGCCATAACGGCTGTGTCTGTGTTTTTTCCTCAGGAGAGTGGAACACAGGACTGCAAGACACACGGGGTGTGTGAAGGCACAGGGGCAGAGAGCACGGGATACCAGCACTTGGGAGAAGACACGTCACGGGAGTCGAGGGAGCACTTTTGGAGATTCAATGTGTGGTGTACATTTACCTCACTGTAAATAAACCCACTGTTCATTTCATTAAGTCCAGCGTTTGGGTCCTTTCTCCAACATCCCCCACGGTCTGCCCCCCAGACCGTGACACAACCATATGAATGCAAAGCACATGATAAACTTGTCAAATAATAGGAACACTGGTTTGCACACAACCCACAAGCAGTATCAACAAACATGAAATTGCTCTTTAACATTCTCCTTATCCCTCTCAAGGTCACAAGCATTTCAAATGCAGAAACAATGAGATGTCTGAAACTCCTCATACTACTTGAGTAATATATATTGTTGATATAAAGCTTTAAACTGCTGTGACACTAAACCAAAAACCTACTACCCATGTGACCTTGAGATTAAATTCTAACAATGTTTTTGTTATTTGAAAGAAAAGAGCAGACTTTATTTAAAAAGTCTACACAGTACCTTGTAACATAACATCAATTTTATTGATTTTTTCCCTCTGCTGTTCATAAAAGTCAAAGGGAAAGGTTTTGTTTAATTTGACGACATTAAAGGAAGGTGGAAAAGCAGGACTAACTGTAATATAAGTGATAAACCATTTTCAAACCCATAACCTTCTCACATGTGCTTCAGTCCAACAAGACAGACGTTCGTGTTTTAAATTTTTATCATTGCAGTACTGCAGTAACCTCAGCTTACAGAGCTCAAGTAATGCTAGTGTTAAGCATTGCAATTCTTTAGCCAATAATTCAACAGCTGCTCATCACATATGATCTACTTTTAAATCACAGGGTGCATTGCTGAGAACCAGAGTTAAACACAGTTTCTAGTCATATCTCTGATCCCATATGACACCACAGTTAAGATAGTATTTTACTGTCCTCTTTCACTTCATTATGATGTCACCAGTGATGCCACGGCCGTGTTACCGAGCAGTGTACTCGCACTTTGGCAGCTTAACAGAACTGTCATGCGATACTTCGCCGAAAAGTTGCCAGGAGGGCCAAGGTTAAAATGATTGGCTTTTCATTTCCGTTACCTTGGGAATGGAATGTTGCTGATAAAGGGCAAAACTTCTGAATGGATTCTTGTTTCAATGTCAGTGTTTTTGCCTGCCGTCAGACAGAAGAAAACTTTGACGACTAACTCAGACACAAATGTATTGCTGTGTCTCTGCAAACATACATGGGAAAAACAGAGTTTGTACAATTCTAACAAGCCTGGAAGTCAACAGAGTTATGATTACCTTTAATCTTAAACACAGCCTGAACTCTCTTAAGCAAGTTTTTTTTGCAATTTCTTAGTGTTCAGGAATACCTCTCCAGGCTTCTTGAAGGACATTCAAAGCTATTCTTTGGACGTTGGGTGCCTTTTGTGCCATTCTCTCTCAAGACAACCCAACACTGCTTCAAGTATTGTTTAGCTCTGGGCTCTGAGGAAGCCTATCCATGACTGATAGTGTTCATCCCTCCTTAAGCCCTATTGCCACTGATTTTCAGTCCAGTTTTCGTGTACCTCAGCCTTTTCTCCCTGTTTTCTTTCTTTAAGAATAGCTTCTTGACAGCTGCTTTTCCAATGAGACTATTTCTGATGAGGCTTCAGTAAACAGTAGCTGGATCAAATGAAGGGCCAGATACATCTCTCAGGTCTTGTGTCAGGTCATTGCTAGATTTTTTTTTTCTCAATTTTTCCAAGTACACGACTTTCTTATAATGTTCATCTGTTGCAGATGGTTTCTTTGAGGGCTGCCTCTTCTTTTGTCCTCCACTTGTCCAGTTTCCTTTGATTTTTTGAAGGACACTCTGTACACAATGCTGAGATGTGCCAAGATTTTGGCCAATAGCTCTTTGGGAATCACCCTGTTGGTACAAAAATGCTATTTTATGCCTGTCAAACTGTGCTGTTCTTGGCATTTTATTTATTTATTTTAGATTCAAGGAAAGAATTATATGTGCTTTTGTGACAGGCTGCAAGTAAGAGAGTGCCTAAAGATACATTTTAAAATGGGCTGTCTGCTAACGTGTGTGTAAACTCAAAACTGCTTGATCCAGTGAGTTAGGTTATACCTGAATGAATCATAGGTCAGTGTTAAGTGGCTCACTGATCAAAAAACCCCAATAAAACAAAAAAGCTTTGCACATATCTTTAACATATCTACATTGTACACATGTTAAAGAACACCAGATTATGTGTGATTTTTGTTTCTTTTGGGAAAAGCAGATTTACAAGTGGATATGTGTATGTTACTTAACCAAACAGCTACAGAATTATAGTGAATAATTACCCGTTTTTCACACGGAAAGCAACATGAATACAAACAACATCACTTAAAAAATTTACTTTTTATATAACTAAACAGGTGAAATAAAAATCTTTCAAAGATAAAAAGAAAAAGTTTAATTTAATTATTTATTTAAGGCAAACTGCAAATGTAGTAAGTGTTTCTTTCTTTCGGAGGAGGGCTAAGAGTAATGCTGTTTGAAGTTACCACTTGGATGAAAGTGACATATGAGCTACCTAATCTACAAATTAAACCAAAACCGAGACAACCTGCAAACATGCAGCTAGTCCTGTGACATTTAGAGAGATAACATTATCAGGTTATTTGGATGACGTTACTTTCAGCTGATTAACCTTCACATAGCTCCAAGTTCCAGGATTAATTGCAGGACCCCACTGAAATTTCTCTTGTTTACTAAGGAAATATCACTGTATAATGTTACCAACGCTGACCTCGGTGACAACATCTGTGAATAAGTGAGTCTTCTTCTAAATGAGTTGCTGCTCTTCGACATAGAGAACCTTCAGCAGCTATAATGCTGTAGAGTTTGGAAATTACAATGCTAACTACATTTACTGCAGAGAGTCCATCTGTTGTATCACTGCAGTGCACACATAGACACTGTGTATGTGTGTGTACGTATGTGCGAGAAAAACAACACCTCAGTTGTTTCTATACTCCCGGCTATATAAGAATGACAGCTGTAACTAATTTAACTGTACACAAATATGGTGACAGCTGGAGCTGTAAAATGCTTAGATGATTGAAAAATGTAAAATAAAACGACCAACAAAAAAAGAAAGAAAAGGAAAAGAAAAAAAACCCAATTTTATTAGTCTAATCTACTTTAGGTGCCAAAGTTGGCACTAAGTACAATCCAGACTCATATCAGGGACACTGCAGCTTTAGTGGCGAGTGAAACCTGAAGCTACATGAACTCACCCCATCACCTCCAAAGCCACCACAGCCCTAAATATTCATTGTCTTGTTCCAATGTGAAAACACTCCTGTATGGAAACTTTACATGTGGAGAGTTACAGTTTCCAGTCAGTGTTTGCACCACGAAAACCCTTATCGCCACACGCTACAGCTTCAGTTCATTGAAGACTGGCCAGGAATCGAAATAACCCCCTCTGTGTGTGTCTGTGTTTAGCTTAAACACAGACACAGACACACACGCACACACAGGCATGAATGTGCACGCCACACATCAACACAGATAAAAGACTGAGGAGAAACCTGCTCAGGGCTGGTGCATAACACAGCTAAAGCAGCTTGTCTTGTCTGAAAGGACCGAACAAGTAGATAATGCAGCACAGTAAGCTGACTCTTCAAAACGACATCTTCAGACTGCTGCCTGTAAAAATGGAAGTAAATACATCGAGGAAGAGCGAGCCACATTACACAAAAAAGGTCAAAATGTTCACCGGTAAGAACATAGTGTAATTTGTCAGACTTTATGCTAATCTGTGACAGAGGCAGTTAAAGAGAAGATCAAAAGAAACACAGCTGAACATCAAACTTTCCAAACCATACACTCTGTTATGCTAATGGTTGTAATTTGTCAGTGAAGCGCCGCTTAAATTATTTCAGAGCGTTTGAAATCCCTGTAAACATACACACTCGGTATGCTGAGCATACACTTCTGCTTTCTTTATATTCATCGGAGACTATCTAACTTGTCAGTCCCTCTCCACTATAACTGCACCATCATATTTCACTTCCTTGACCTCCAGGCCTATAGATAATACAGGCTCTGTGTTGCTGTCTGGCACCCGTGGGCTTGGTGTAGCAATGGACAAAATAATACATCGGCTAAGCTACATAGGCACCACTGAACTCTAAACAAAAGCTCAAAGCTTTGCTCCTATCTATTATTGATGGACACATTCACTTGCAGTCTGTTGTGCAGCGAGTGTAGAGACAAAGTGGGGGAAAGGATAAGAGTAGCAATGCTGCTGACCATATAACTAGCTCTTTCATTCAGCTGTCACGTACCATGAAACCCCCCGCAATAAAACAGAGATAAATCAATCAAAAGAAAAAGAAAACTATAAAGAAAACTCAGCCAAAACTTTGGCCGATATCGGGTTAGGGTTAATAGTTCAGAGATACCAGCTCCTAGATGATGAGTAGTCTTGTGTATGTGCTTCACTGGGTAACTTAGATCTTAGCTCCATCTAAACTGGAGGGAAAAAAAGTTGCTTAATTGAAAAGAATAACTTGATGTCTCTTCTTATTAAATCTTCTTATTAAAGTTGTCTTTGACTGAACATCCTCTGCTAGTTAGTCTGAAAAAACAAACACTTTTCATTTGATTTTTCTCTTCATTTCCCAGTTGATTGATCCATCACCAGCATGTGGAATGGCTTCATAACACAATGCTGAGTTTACTGTGGGACTCAAGACTCGTTTTAAATGTGGTGCTACAAGAAAAGCAATATGTGGAGCGAGGCTTTCTTTCCAATAGCTAAGTATATTTTATGATCATTTCAAAGGAAATGCATGGGCCCTTTCTTTTTAAACATAATGAAACATTCCTCAGACCCTTAAAGCATGCTATATCACTAAACTGACTTACATATGCATTCACCTGCGCGCACGCGCACACACACACACGCGCTTCTGATAAGGCTTTGGGTCACTCTGGTGTTTGAGTTCTGGGTCAGTGATAAGGCGGTACTTGTTCCTAACTGCCTTTCTCCCACTCAAACATTTGCAAAACAAGGTACTAAGCTGACACTAAAAACCTGCTGCATGGTTACACACTATACTTACAGCAAGCACCTGCTGCTCTCATAGTAGCAATAAAGCTCTGTCTTAAATGCACAACAATACGCCACCATATTAAACCTAATGATCTAATCTAATCTAATCTAATCTGATCTAATCGTTTTGAATATCTTCAAATGTACTCCATTTTTCAAAAAGCTGAATCTGTATGTGCGGCACTAAGAATATTTTTGCCATTAAAGAGTGCCATCGAATTGCCTTTATGTCCTGAAAAAAAGACTCCCTCCATCTCCCAATCGTGGCAGTTTCTCCTTTGTTTACCTTTGACCATGTACACTGCTAACAGGGACACAGTTAGAAAGGTGAAAGTGATTATTCTGCTTGCACATCACTATATTTAGTACAAATTTCAGAATACAAAGTACAGTGTGACTCTCGCGGTGATCCCCAGAGTATTATGATGCCCTGCATTTACTTTTACATCTTTTCTTTTACATGCAAAAAGAAAACCCAGACAACAACAACAAAAAAACCCAACAAATAAGAATTTCTCAATTTGAAAAAAAAATGTCAGGAGAGCGGAAACCTCGTAACCCAGTTTTCCAAAATGATCACCTGCACATGTAACCTAATCTCATCAAACCCCTGTGATTTTGCCTTCTTGAGACACCATTGCAAGATTTTCCTATAATTGTACAGTACTAACTTTACAGTGTCAACTCATTCTCAGTAATGTTTTAACATGTTTGAGTTGCACTGTGTTTGCCTTTGCTCCCTTTGAGCCACTGAGAGTAAGCCGCTCTGACAGGCCGAGTTCCCCTGCATCACCTCCGACACCACAGGGTCACCGGGTGGCACTGCCAGACAGGGCCACTACCTCCTCTAAAGCACACATGCTGCCAAGTTTAGCTGCCTGCTATCAGTGCCAGCAAGTGGGGACAGACAGCACACGGTGGGGTTGTGCTCGGAGATCATATCCCACATTCCTAAACCTGGGCCTGAACTCTCCATCTTGGATATATCAGACTGTGAGTTTACTGGACATGGGTTACACTTAGAAAAATAACGAAAGAAACAAAGATAGCATGATATCAGTGGTGTACAGTATTTATCCTCAGTAACAACATTTCATTTGCCAAGAAAGACAAAGTATCAGTTTTCTAATTTTCATGACAGTGGTACTTTATCCCATATAACCTGAGCCACACTTGATAAACCCCACTTTTATGTTTTTATAAAAGGTAGTCCTTCATACCGATCATGCTGTCAGGAAGGGAAAACACTGAAACATTTCCTGCTGGGCTGAATTGGTTTTTAAAGTTCTCTTGTCAGAGGCTTGCTGAATACAAAACACCTCTTTGCTGCACACAAACTGTTCTGCAAAATTAAATGCCCACTGGTGCTGAGGAAAATAGTCTCCCAAATGAAAGATCTGTATAATATTCCTATACTCCTCCTGTGAAGGCTTGTTTTGTCCAAGACTCTCTTGTCTGTGATGAATTACATGCATTTTTTTAAAATCTGCCACGGTAAGACTAAAATATCCATATAATGTTCCTAAAGGGACCTCCGGTTGTGCTGCGATATCTGTGTAGCATCTTTATAAAATTCATAGGATTAACAGTTCTTTGTAGTGAGGACTTCCAAGGCTCTACATGAGCAATTAACTCCCTGTTTAATTAGGATCTTAGAGTTGCAATTATGCCCTTGAATACCCAGTGGATCTGGGTGATTAGGAAAATAAAAACACTCACACTGTGAAGTGATACACGAAGCATTTCCAGCCAGACGGCCTTTCCAGAAAATTATACACGCGCCCTTGGATGTAGGTTCGGGTGAGGACTGGACGAACCCCGGTGCTGTACACCGACATCCGCACAGACATCCGGGGATGAGAAAAATAAGGGTGGAGGTGAACGGGAGGTATATCGTTGGGGGTACACCCGTCCTCTGGCATTTTGTCCCTTTCACAAAACGTGTTGTTGCCCACAGGTGTCCCTGTTTCGGGCTCACTAAAAGTAATTTCTGACAGCTCCAGATCCGGTGGTCTTTTTCCACGTGCCAAACCAGAACCCCTCCGTGTGTTCTCCTGACGAGGGTCGGAAGAATTAGACATTATAGCCTCCCGTTAGTCTTCTGTCGCCGGCTTAACTTTTTTTTTCACAGTTATTTTTTTCGGTCACTGACTCAAACGGACAAATGTTCGCCCATGTGCGCTCACCTTCTGTTGCGCGCCCGATCGCACCAAGGCACATAAAACTGTAACATAAACTAAGTTATTAATGCTCCAGATCACCAGCGGGGTTTCTTTAATTTAACTTTACAGCTCTCCGGGTTGTCGAGGATATGGCGAGTCCCAGCCTTCAATGGAACACCCCCCCCTCCCTTGCTACTTTCAGGGCACTTATCAGCTTGGAGAGCTGTCGCCAGGCGGTGCGCTGCGAGCCGCCAGCTGTTCAGACTATTTACTGTAATGCAGAACTGCTTAAAACAATCTGAACCTGGCGAACTCCATCACAGTCGCGCGACGAGCTTTGGATTAAACCATCTCTGCAAAACAGTGACACGCATTTCTATTAAAAGTAGAGTTGGCTTTATAAGGCAAGGCAAGGCAAGGCAAGTTTATTTGTATAGCACAATTCAACAACAAGGTGATTCAAAGTGCTTTACAGAGACATTAGAAACAAGAACAAATAAAAAGCATGATTTAAAATTGATTAAAACAAGCAAATAAACTAACTAACTAATTAACAAACAAACAAACAAACAAACAAACAAACAAAACAGTATATAAAATCAAAACAGATAAAATCAGAACAGTAGATAAAATCAGTAGTTAAATGTAAGTTTTGGAACGACGACGTTAATGAAACTGCCACTGTTCATTTATGCGCGTGTGTCCAGCTGGGCCAGAACTTCTTAACAAAGCACATCAGGACACTTCGCACCTTAAGTTTACATGTTAATGGAGTTTCACTTCTGCATAATAAATCACTTTAAGTAGCAGAGACTGAACAAATGTGTAAACAAAAGGGTGACCACACGATATAAATTAAAAGGAACCCGTTTCATTCAAAGGTCTTTTCATATCGATATTAAATTATTAGACAGCAACTAAAGTTGTTGTTTATATTTCGTTCAATTCAACAGTCGCTTCAAGGCACTTTATATTGTAAGGTAAATACCCTACAATAATACTAAGAAAACCCCAGCAATCATAGAATCATCTGTGAGCATGCACTTGGTGACACTGGGAAGGAAAAATTCCCTTTTGACATAAGAGAACTTCCAGCAAAACCAGGGGAGGGGAGGGGCAGTGATTTGTGACCAGTTGGGGTTGAGGGTAGGAAGCTAGGGCAGGTTAGCACTGTTGCCTCACAGCGAGAAGTTCCTGGGTTTGAATCCACCATCTGGCCGGAGTTCGCATGTTCTCCGCCATATTTACGTGGGTTCTCTCTGCCTTCTTTCCATAGTCCAAAGACATGCACTGAGTGGGGTTAGGTTGGTGATCCTAAACTCTAAACTGGCCATAGGTGTTAGTGTGAATGCAAATGGTTGTCTGTCTCTTTGAGTTAGCTCTGTGACCTGTCCAGGGTGTACCTTGTTTTTTGCCGCCTGGGATAGCTTCCAGCCGCATAACGACCTTGAATTGGATAAGCCGCAGAATAGATAGATGGGTATGTGATGGCTTCTTCTTTTTTGCAGATTCCCTAAATGTCTCTATCGACAGCGGGTGAGCATTCAGTATCATATAAAGGCCAGAGGTCTCATTCAGCGCTAATCATTTCATATTGTCAGTATATGATGCGACTGCTATATTGGCAGGTTAGGATGTGACCTCAGTAACCTGTTTTATTACACATACACACAGACGCCTACTGGAACAAATGTGTAATGAGCAGTGTGTGCGAAAGAAACCACTTGATTGGCTGAATTAATGTGTTAAGAAGTGCGTAGAATTTCCTTCCATTGTTTGAAGAGGCATTCAGCCTCAGTCATTTTCCATCATTAAACTGCCAGTTTGAAGTTTAACATTAGCAGTCATTGTGTGAAAGTCATTGGTGTTTGGGAGCTATACAGAGCTCTCCTCTGCACACCTGTTCCCCACACCACCATTGAAACTACTAAACATCGCTGCACTGTGTGCACCAGTGTGTGTTTTTATTAGGTTTTTCACCTTTTGATATCCTCTTCTTATCTCTTTCTTTCATCCACTCAGACCAGAGTGCACAAAATATGAAATAGCTTTTAACAACTGACAAGAGAGACCGTATTACTATTATCACCTTCTTAAACTGGAATAATACGATCTACTGCAGCTTAAAATTTCTATGAACATGTGGATGTTACTTGCTTTACATGAGCTAAAATAACACTGGTGTTAGGCTAATTGAAAACTCTTATACATGGAGCTTAGTTTGACAAAGTTAGCCTGTTACTCATTCATTTTTAGCTGTGACCTTGACTAAGAAAGTGCAAGGAGGAAGAAACAAGTCCCCCACTGCAGATTTTAATAGGAGTCCAGTGGCATCCACGTGATGACAGGATCTGTTGACAGGTAGATATTAAAACAATTCTAACTGGGTCTTGCTGTTAGATGCCACTGCTACATTTGAGATTTTGTTCATAATAAAAAAGGGCAATTATTCTAAATGTCATCATTCCAATGTGCATTTTATTGTGCGGAGGAAATAAAATATTGAATTTCTATTTAAAAGCAAAAATGGCAACACTTAGAGATGCTTAGTCATTGCAAAAGTAATGAGATCTGGATTATCAATTAGTCAGCAAAATCATTTTTTAAGCGAAAAAGACAAAAGATTTTGCTGCATTAAAAAAATATAACATCTACTTGCATTTTTGAATGTAAATAACAACCTGAATTCAACATGATCAACGGAGGACACTCCAACTCCACATCACCTAATGCAGTCATGTTGCATAATTTCTTTTAATTTTTATTTCTTTTTTGTACTCTTGTGAGCAAATAATATTAAAATTTTGGTTATTGTTACTCATGTTCAACAACCAATTTGGAAGACTGAATCCCCTCAAAGAAAAGACACCCTCCTCCTACTGAAGTTGACACCAGAGGGCAGTCAGAAAGCTATTGTTATTCACTCAGGCATATCCAGATTAGAAAAGGGGATTCTTTTTTTGTTGTTGTCCCAGGCACCCAGCTGAGAAAACAGCAACTCGTAATTTAGTTTGCAGTGAGAAGACAAGAAATAATATTGCACTGTAACCAACTAATGATCACAAATACACACACACAAAAAAGTGTGTGTGTGGGGGGGGGGGGGGGAGAGAGCGAGAACAGAGAGAACATTTAAAAAGATTACCAGTGGAATACAAACAGTTTCCAGTAGACTCATCTTCCTGGTCATAAATATGTTGAACTTAGAAGTAGTTACATAAGGTTGAAATGTCTCCGCAGGGTACTCCACAGATAGTCTTTCCAAACAGTCTGTCCAAGCGTTCAGCCCAGTCAGTTGAAATTAGTCATGGGATCTCAGACTTTATTGTCCTCCATATTTATGAGTAATATAAACACATAAAGAAAATGGGCTCCATCCCTCGATGGCTTTATAAACAAATGATCAGTGACAAAGCCCATTCATGTAAAGACCTTAGTAATGAAGCCACAACATATAATGCGTGAAGACGTGTTCGTGTTGTACGTTTTATGATGTAACCCAATTAATAATGTCTACACCGCGTGCGTCACTGTGCACTGATGCTCTCGTACACATGCTGTCTGTGGCCCCATTCAGGGCTGCATCCTTTGAAGTCTGTGTTTCTTTACCAGATATGACAAGGCTGTCCCCTTCCAAAGGCTCTCCTGAATGCAGCCTGAGAAATGCTTGTCGCTTTTGCCTGCAATTGAAGAACAAAAGTTGGTGTATCCCTCGCAGTGTGCATACGCCAGTGAGGGAACAGCACTGGAACACATAAAAAAAATTAAACTATTATGTATGTAAGACCCACCAACCGGAAGTTATCACATTTGTACAGACTGCCACCCCCACCACACAAGAGGAAGTGGGTTGCGTGTGATTTGCATGCAGGCACTAATAATGATGAGATCAAGGACTCTGGCAAACAACAATGGGGTGACAAGATCAAACAGTCAAAGCACTAAAGGGTACGGGAATGACTCGAAACATTACCTGATTAGCTTTAGTTACTGTCGTCACATGCGGTAAAATTATAACAAGAGAAGCTACATTGCTCTTCCTCGAGTGCATCTATGAACATTATTCCGGTGTTTGCTGTATAATTAGAACTCATGTTTAAAATACTTGATTTAAGCACACATATGAAGGCAGATGGAGCGACTGCGGGGTAATTTGCATGGCTGTGATCTTTTCTGTTGTTTTTTCCTCGCACTGTTTGCGTTTGTTGTTCCTGGTTTAGTTTTGCGTTTAGTCACTGTTTGGATAGGTTTAATCTCACTATTGCTGTGACACAGGCAAAGCAGGACCAATGCCAAAGAGCACTGAGGTGTCCAAGTGGCCAAAGAGGCAGCCTGGCAAAAAAAAAAGAGAGAAAAGAAAAAACAAATCAATGTTATAATTTTCTTAGTTGCAGACATTCTACATTTAGTAAAGTACCATACCAAGCTACAACAACAAAAGTAAAAACAGCTCCATTTAACCAACTTTCTGCAGGAATGGTCTAAATTTGATGTTCAATCTTTAACAATAAAAGTGACAAACTGATTGTAACCGATCTGCCATCGTTTCAGAGGGCTGTTATTATTTAAGATTGCAGAGGACCCGCAGATCATGAAGGGTCTGCGCTTCGATCTCAAGATCAAAAAAAGACAAAGAAAGAGAGAGAAAAGAAAGTAACAGGGGTTAATCAGACTTAACTGTGAGCAGAGCCAGACACGGCATCACGGTCACAAATATAATTCTTCCATTGTTATTCCCACAGTTCATCAGAACACCATGTTTTAGTTCTGCCTCATCTTCTCTCATTCTTACACACAGACACAAAACTTCCCACATATACAGACCCATACATCTCCCCATTATCAGGCTCTCTAGGCTCTCTGCGACGTGATGAACTGCATCCCAGCTCTGGAGATACTGTATCTCCCCATGTTCCCCATGTCTCTGTCGTAAATCTGTGTGCATGCCAGGAAGTGAACAAAATTCTGCTGTGCAAAACATCTCAGTACAGCTTACTTTCAACATGGGTGTAAATGATCTTTATCCGAGATAATTTAGACATGTAGTTTATTATAAATTATTCAGTTTTCATTCATTGTAGATTTATTACCATGTCCAAGAATTTTGCAATACATCCATCCATTCATTTTCTTAACTACTTATCCAATTCAGGGGATGT